AATTAAGTTATCCACATGCAACACTACCAAGAACAAACCTCACACAGTCTGTGGGCTTTGTCTTTTTGCTACATCCTGCTGAAAGAACTATTCTACTAAAAGAAGTCCTTTCAGGATCGGGAAGTCCCACGATCAGAGAGTTTTGCTGACTTTGATCAATTCCCTGGGAGAAATGTTCCCTGACTCGGGCTGAGTTGGTGCTGGTAATTCCAGTCTCCAGTGTGGCCTCCGCAGCAGTCTTCCTCATTGAGCTTAATTACAAGCAAGCAGCCACTTTGAGTCTGTTTAGTTTGTATTTGCCTGTTCAGGCACTATAGCTGCAGTGTTTTATTGCCTCGGCTGTCACTATATAAAAAAATCTTTCATTTTTTTGCAGCGTTTTCCCACGTACTTCTGTCTTCTTTTTGTGAAGTATGCGTTTTTCTGGAATGGCATCTTTAATGAATTAATAAAACAATAGCAGCGTGTTGACCTAAGACCTCAATGAAATGCCTAAATTCTTTCCCACAATTTGCATATTTCAGTCTTTCCAAAAACTTGCAACAAATGAAGTCAAGATTGTGGGAATGCTATCCTTGAACACATGCTGTGAAGGGTCCACGTTGGTCGGGCTGAAAGCTCAGAGGCCAGGGTTTCATCGTCATAGAAAATATGCATAAAACAAAGCTTCTTGGAAGCAGGTTTGTGTAATATAATCCTGGTGAAGATGCCCTCAGGCGTTTGCTATTTGACTTTAAATCTTTCACCCTCTAACAGGAAGTGAGTGTGACGAAGAGGATGTAGAGTTTGAGGAGTCTGACAGTGATGAGTCATGGACCACAGAAAGCGCCATCAGCTCAGAGTCCATCCTCAGTTCCATGTACATGAACGGAGGAGATGAAAAGCCTTTTGCATGCCCAGTTCCAGGATGTAAAAAGAGATATAAGGTAAGTTTCATTCGTGGTCTCTTAAATCTTATTAGGATGCCTGTTGTAAACATAATAAAACGGTGTGAAATATCTTTATCATGACCAGAGAGACCAAATGAAAACCGGACATATTTGCATTGTATTAAGTGTGAGAGATGTGATTTTATTTACTTTCAAAATAAATCCAGCCGATTCCCTGCTGTTGACAATGGAAAATTGGTTCTTAGTTGAGCATTACAACAACAGAAATGCATACATCTAGTCCACTTCAGAGATGTGGAGTTTTTATAGCATTTTCCATCCACATCTGGTGTGTGTGGTTGGAATAAATTATGTGCAGCCTGAGAAAATTGCATTGCTGACGTGAATGACAGGGTTATAGGCGATGACTTAGTCTGAGGTAGCAGGCAGCCTTAGGCATCTGTTTAGCAGTAAAACAAGATAGATTTGAAACAAGAAAACATCTTGTCCTACATTCAGATGTTGACTGGTAAATATCATAGATATACCCAAGTCTGTGAATTCCTTTAATGCTACGCTATAGACTACCCTACCCTAACCCTACACTATATATACTATATTTTAGATCAATCATAATATCCCTTGCCTTTTTCATTTTGGTATGACCATGATTTTAAAGTACCGGTCTCTAAGAATGAAGATGGGTATATAACTATATCTGTAGGTGCCTATAATTTTCAGAATTTGTGATTTTTGCGGGGCAGGAAGGACTGTGATGGAGGCCACAGTTCTGGGAAACAATCTGTTCCTCAGCCTTCAGACCTTTGGATAAAAGGAAACAAAGGTTTAGAGCCAAGCCAGCTAATTTCTGCAGCGATGTTCTGAAATCTGACCTTCTAACAATTCTGACAATTGGAACCTAATATAACTATACTTTTATGCTCATACTTTTGGACTGGCTAATCAGACGCACATACGTATAGTTTTATGTGTCAATATTCTTTTCTCCAAGCAGTGCACACCAGAATTTAAAAATCAATAGCTCTCCTCCTCCAGCTCTCCCCTTTCTGTTCTGAGCGTCTCCTATTAAATGATCATAAGCATAATCATCTGCTTTATATGCACCAGAAATGTGTCAGTGAAGAGTTTTGGCTTAACGTGATTATTTCCAAGTAAAAACACTTTGCATTGCTTTGGTTTTGTAATCTATGCAGGGGAGAACACAACCAGTTTCCTCCATAAGTCACAGACTACTATAAATAAACTAATCACCTTTTGAAAAAAAGGAATATGTATATCTGCACTAAATAACAGTCTTTCCACTAACAAGGACAACTCTATAATATTAATTTTAATATTTTAAAATACATCAACTAACCCAGAGTCAGAGTCCTTGAGAGTCAATGCAGATGTGAACTAACTCTACACATCTTCCATTCGCAGAGAGAGAATCCTGGTCCTCTGACTGGTTGAATTACAATAGCTTCAAGGTTATTTTGTTGTGTCTTTGGTTGGTGCGTGTCTAAAGTGGTGGCTCTTTCATTTCCTTGTTCCATTACAGAATGTAAACGGAATTAAGTATCATGCCAAGAACGGCCACCGAACTCAGATAAGGGTGCGCAAACCCTTTAAGTGTCGTTGTGGGAAGAGCTACAAAACATCTCAGGGTCTCCGCCACCACACAATCAACTTCCACCCACCCATCTCTACTGACATGATCCGCAAGTTGCAGCAGTAGAGCCTGAGTGAGGTACCAGCACTTGCCTTCAGGCTATGTCAGCAACCATCAACAGACCACCATCACCAGCAGCAGCTGTCTCCCCCTTTTCTTCCCCTCTCGTTGTATTTTACTACACTACACACTATTGCATGGTATAAACATATTATTGTTCTTTCATATCTTTTATTCAGAATGTTGAATCTTTATTTTGTTCACATTTTTGCATTTTGCACATTTAAACTATCATTTATTTATTTAGCATTTGACAGATGGTGAAGGCATGTGTTAGCCCAGGTCACAAGTAGCCTTACATGTACTGCTGGGCATTCTGGTTTAAAGGGAAGGAGAGAAAAGATTGGGATAATTGTTGAGAAAGGAAGCAATCATACCATGCATTTGTCACATTAAACAGTTTCTTTTTTTTAGGCTAAAATGTGACTGAGACAAATTCAGTGTTTTATATAATGTTTTATAGCATGAAATCCAGCATAAAAGCATTATTTGGCAATCTCTAATAGGCTTAATGTTACTGATCATTTGTTGGACTTATTGTAGTTACTGTTCCTTTCATATCACAAGAATTCAAAACATTTTTGATAAGTTTTACTTTAAACATGTGTGTGAGCACCAAAAGAATGTTCTCAGGTGATTTTTTTTCTTTTCTTTGCTAACATTTCAGCATCATAATCCTGCCCAAGTGTTCTGATAGTATTTAAGCTGTCATTGTTCCTCATGTTCCTGACAGCTTCCCTGAAGACGTAAGCAGTTTTCCATGCTTATTTACAGTAAGGGATTGAAGCACTTTTATAAAAGTTGCCAAATAAATTAGCATTTTTACCAACATCTTGTTTCTAGTGTATATACAGTGAGTGTAGAGTTGCACGTTCTACATTGCTCCAAGGAAAGATGTACATCAATCATTTCATTTTTTTCAGTATTGTAAGATTTCTGTAATAACAGCAGTTGCCTTGAAATGTAAACCATTCCAAAATAACTTTATTTTCAAAGCTGCTGAACACAGGCAGTCAGCCCACTCTGTTTACTATTCACTGACTGCCTGAGGCCTGAGTTATGAAGCAGGTTCACCATACCCACAATATCTACGCCATAAGTGAACCCAGATAAGGTAATCAGGCAGAGGTGGCTTTCAGCTTAGTAGCTGTGGGATGGCGTTGGTAGCATCTGACCAATCAGAAACATGGACAGGTCTTGTGGCAACAGATTGATATTAAAAAGGAAGCTTTTTATATTTTTCTAAAATTAAAGACATGATACAAACTGAAAAGCAGCACAGCTGTGAGTATGTGTAGTAACAAAAAGCACTATAGTATATAAGTGCTGTATGGATGTGTTTGAGCTTTAAGTACTTTTTTGAAAATGACTGAAAAAGCACTTTTATTGAAGCTATGAAAGAAAACTAACAAGAATGCTGACCCTGCAAGTTGGAAAACTTATCAGTATCAGCTTTATACTTAACACACAGGACAATCTAATAGTTTACCATAAATAAAAAAAGGCTTAGCCTATATGCAAAGTACAAATGGGTTCCCCTTTTAGGATTATATATTGTTTCTTTAAAAGAATAACCGGAATATAAGAAAAGTGCTTCTATGAAATTGCATTTCTTGACGTGATCAAGAAAAACCTCAAATCTTCCAAGAATGGGAATGCCATTTTCCACAGAACTGATTGGTTAGATTTCGTACCTGTTGGATTATTATCTCAAATACAGGTTAGGTGTATGTGATAAGTCAACATGGCGATGTACGTTGCTAAGAAGTGAACCTCCTTATTGAGTTGATAACCCAGGTTTAGCAGATTTTTCCTGGATAAGCCCAAATCCTGTTTCATAGTACAGGTCTCAGGTCTCACAAAACTAGCTGTCTGTCATGGATAATGGGAAAAGAGGAACTAGTGTCAGTATATTCAGCACATTTGCATTCTCATAGTCCTGCTCTTAGGCTGCGAGGGAACACATGCAGCTCTTAGTTTGTGCCATAAAAATGTGTTAGCCATTTGTAAAGACTTAATAATTAAAGTAATTGAAAACCGAGCGTGAAATTCTCAAATCTGAGCCACTAGGTTATTTTCACAGCTTGGTGTTTGTGTTAAGGAACTAAAGTCCAAATAGGAATCATGGCAAAACTGAACTGCCAGTATGGAGACAACTCTTTGATATAGTGTACAGTGAATGTATTGTCTAGTGTCAAGTGCATTAAATTATATTTTCATATATTTCTGAAGTTTAAAAAAAAAAAAAAAAGTATGGAAGTGTATATCTGAAACGGTAAAACCAGAGGTGGTGACGTACTGTATTTCTTCTTGAAGCTGCTTCATGTAAACGTTTGTTACTTTACAATAAAGGTTTCTCTGCTCTTCTGACGTTTGCATTATTAACTCTTTGGACACAATTCAGTTTTAGACAGATTTTATTAATTCGTTTTAGATACATGGAACTCACTAAACTAATGAAACATTTCTATGAATGAAATAAGTTATTACTGTAAAAGAAAAGAACAAAAGGAAGGTCAACAGAAGCTCGGCATGCAGCGATTAGCTGATGATATGAAAGTTCTTAAAGATTCAGACACAATTAAATAATTCAAACTCAAAGAAAAGGAAACCTAAAAGTCGTACATAAATTATCAAGGCTGTCACAATATTGTTGGCTTTAATTATTCTAAAATAGATGATCTGAGCATATACTGTATAATCATGTATGGATATAATCACTGAAGAGTTCTCCCTGACTGCATATAGTGCACCAAGGTTGCTGTCTGTAAAGACTGACTAAATGACTTGTACAGTGTAAGGGGGCAGATTTGGCTGCATGTTTGAAATGTAAGTTTGGTAAACACTTATCTCTTTCCCTGATTCATTACATCGTGTGGACTAACAGATCTGTCCGTTTAAAGTCCGTATATATGCGTACAACAGTCTTATCCCCCAAAAGTATCCTTAAAATCCAAATTAAATGAAACCTTCCACCTTAAAAGAAAGAAAATGGTGTGAAAACAAATTTGGTAGCCCTGCCATGTCACTGAATCATTTTCATTTTTAAATGTTAAATCAGCTCCAAGTATTTCTCTAAGGTGAAGTAAAAAAAAAAAAGAAAAAAAAGAAGCAAAATTCAGTATAGTCCTAAAGAGAGGATCTTCACACCATTACATGCAAAAAAAAAAAAAAGAAAAGTGTTGTGAGTGGTTGACAGGAAGTAAGCAGACTGGATGTGCTGATTTTCTGTTTATCTAGTCGAAGTTTAGCGGGTGGCTGTCGAAGTGAGTAAGCACGTGATTCTCAAACACTTTCTGGTCGCAGTCCAGCGGGAACTGCTCGCTGCACATAGGGCAGATTTTCCAGTGGCTCTCCACGTGCTCCTCAAACTTACTCTGGTCATAGTTGGGTGGGAAGATGACCTCACAGAGGGGACATCGTTTCATGTCCATGCTGCGCGTGGGAAGTGGATGGCAGAAGAGAAAGAGGGGAGAGAAAGCTCACGTTAATAAGCAGTCAAGCAAAGACGTGGGCAAAACAGGAGCACGGCTAATAAAGAGCATCCGTCTGATGCAACGTGGGTGGCCTGCGCTTCATCTAATGGGGGGGG